TACTCAGTATCTTATAAATTATGATAATATTATTGGTTTGATAGAGTAAATATAAATAATTTCATATACGATGAATAATTAAATTGTATTAAATGAAAGCCTTTTTAACAAATATTTTAATTAAAAATATATCATTTTAACCAATTTAAATAGCATCAAATGTTCAATATTAAACTGCAATCATATTCATCAATAATGTAAACAATGTTGTTATCGTTGCAATAAATGCAAATAATGATATTATTCCTAAATCAATAATTAGATGTTAATTTTAAATATTATCAGTAAATATAGTTAATCAAAAAATAATACTTTCTTATTAATACAACAATCAAACTTCCTATTGTTTTTAGGTTTGGAATTTCAATAACATTCTTAGTCCTTATTTTGAAAATAGAATTATTAAGCATTGAATTCAAATATCAATTCAATTTTTTGTCTGATAATTTATTTTTTTATGTCGCTCTAGAAAACAAGACTATTTTTATTTATAATCCTTATTCATCAAGGCACATGTCTTTATTTAAAAAATTAGAGTTGGATTCTATTATATTGAGCACAACAACTAATTAGTAAAGTTCTATATTATTTTATAATAATACTATGTTATTGTTATCATCAATGGAGTAAGAGTTGTTTAAAGTAAATGAATCACTTATTTATCAAAATTACTACTCTTTGATGATTTATAGACTTTAAGTAACTTCCTTATTACATCCTTCTTCTATATATTGTTTGATTATATAGAAGATCTTTTTTGTTACTATAATATACACATTTATAAAGTCTTACTTACTTATCAAAATTTTACAATACTATAAAATGTTACTTAATAAGATGTAAGTTTAGATGCTGAAGATATCAATTATTAACAGCATTCATTTACAAAAAAGTTATTGTAGATAAAATAAATAATAGGAATTAGAATTTATTTACCTCAAATATCTAAAGGTAAATAATAGGATGTTATATGTTTGACCAAAGTAGTGAGTGTTTTTTAAATAATATTAACTCATCTTTACTTCTAACTTAAAACAATTTTTCCTATACATTAATCACACCTATTAACAATAATTATTTCTTATTATAGAGTAATTTGCAAATTAAAATATTACATAATTTATTAGAATATAATTGTTTTAAAACTTATGATTATTCTAGTTATAATTTATCAGAGTGCTAAATATCAACTTCATAGAGAAATCAATTATTTTCTATTTATTTAAATTCAACTTGATAATATAATATAATAATAT